CCCCATCCTTTCCATCTGATTAAGACATATTATTATTCTGAAGAATGTTTTGTGGGAATTTTGAAAAACAGACCCATAGTTACATTGACAGTTTATAATTTAAAGTATATTTTGCTGTTTCTTTAGATTTTTCTTGGTATACGTAAGGAGATTTTCAGATTTGTAAAGGCACCTTGTTGTGCTCAGAAACTGCAGAAATGTTTGTTAAATCTTAAATATAGGCATACAGCTGTCCTGAAGAGATATTTGAGACTACTATAAGTTTATTTTGCTTTCAACTCATATAGTTTAGAAGACAGCAGTGATTTTATCTACATTAATGAAATATGATACTGTAGGCTTCTCTTCTGAAAACTATTGGTTTGGATTCTGTCCCCTGGTGCTGGTTTAGTTGCTTTCTGGAGACCACTACACTCTCCAAGGTACAATGGCAAGAGTTAAGATTGAAAGTCCTTCCCTCTCAAAAAGGAATGGGTAGAGATTTTTTCTCTTCTTTTGAAGAAGTGAAATGCACTTACTTCTATACTGCCTCATGATGATTTGTTTGCTTGAAGAAAGCAGCAATATTTTGTAAACATAACAGCTCATATAAATATTTATACTTCTCGATAGCAAGAGTTCACTAAAGCTTCCTTGAGTGGTTTTATTTCTGTTAGGAAACTCAGGGAATTACAAGTTTATTAGTTTGTTGCATCTGCTGTTTGCTTTGTATGTTCATTTTCTGTTTCATTTTGCTGGTACCACCAAAGATGTTATAATGATTCCAGCTGCACTCTTGCAGTGTTTTCCATTGCTGGCTATGATTTACACCTCTTACATCTTAAAATTATTTTTTGCTTTTAGAAATCATCCTTTCCTTTTGTCCAATTATAATTTTGTTCTTTACAGACTTTGCCTCCAAGCATGTTCTCTAAAACTCTGTCTCAGGTTCTCCATGCAGTTCTTCATTGTCTCCTACATATTACATAGCAATATTTCAACAATAATTTTTCTCTTCATTCCCAGTGATTAGATTTCTAATGTTCAGTCACTGGTTTTGCAAGTCTCTTTAAAACTACTGCAGTGCAAGCTAACAAAGCACATTATTTACTCATTCTTGCCAATGTCATATCTTTTACTACTCCTCTATATAGTTGGCCATCCTTAAAAAAAGGCTGTCAGGTGTCTGCATCTATCCCAGTATGTCTTGCTTACAGTCAGGATGCAAAGATGCCATTCATTTGAATTCTTAAATGGCTGTTAGGCTCAGGCTTGACATTTGTGATGAAACTGCAGCTTTCCCTGTGTCTGTGGCAATAAGGTTGCATCCATTAAGTTGCTCTGTGGTTACTAGCCTTCTCAGCTGTTTCTTGGCAGAAGTGGACACTTAGTTTGATTATATAACTAAATATTCACTTGAAAGATTATTACAAATCTAAAAAACTCCATGTCCTAGAGCCATGTTCCAGACTTATTTTTTCCCTACTTTTTTTACACCTTATTTTGCTTTGCAACTGTGGTGTGAAAATAGCCAAACAGACAACACTGTTGAAGATAGGACTTCTACAAGTTCTTTAGGAAATCTGCAGTCTTTGCTTGGAGCAATGATTTATAATGATTTATTAAATAGTGATGCAAATATTGTAGTAGATTTGGAAACAGTGGAGCAAACCCCCTGGCTTTTGAAAGCAATGGAATCACTGGCTATGCTTTTCCACTGTAAGGAAGTCTGATATAGCCATGTTGCATGCTAGTATATTTTAAGGATGTTGATAGCTACACACCCTAGCTATGTACCATAGACTGGTGAACAAAACACAAATTCAATCTGTGCCTGTCTCAAAGTTGTGGAGTGAAACCAGATCCTCACCCTAGCTTGGCCTCCCAGGTGGTCCTTGCAAAATCAAAGTCATACACAGTAGGAATTTAAGGCAGGGAAAATAGGTTGCAGAAGTCAGAAGCAGGGGAGTTTATTGAAGCAGATCTCAGGTCACATTCTATTCCTTTTTGTTGAGTTTGCATATGACCCACATTGCTCCTGAGAGCAGTGTTTCTTCCTCATAATCTGTGGGATCTCAGGCCCTGTTTCTTCAATTGAAGCTTTGTCAGTTGTGACTTCCAATATTTCTGAGTGCTGATCCTCTTAGACAACAAACGAAAAAGGAATGGTTTGGGAGATGCTGAAAGAGAGCAAAAGGAAATATGAGGAATGAAGAATGTATGCCAAGATAAGAGGGAAGAACAAGAACAATGAAGATGTCTTGGGGAAGGCATTAGTGCTGCAGTTCTCAAAGTGAGAATATTTTATTTATTTCTGGGGTGATATGCTGCTGTAACCATGATCTCCAGGTCATACACTTGAATAAAAAGAACTGTAAGTTTGCCATCTATAATAAATGAGCCACATGAAACAGAAAGTATTTGTATTTGATCATATTCTCCTGTCCAAAGCTGTATTTCTAAATTGAATGTGTTTGTAGGCATAAGGGAGGGAGGCCTGCAGTCATGTGTTTTTTCTTCTCTTGGGGAAGGTGACAGCAAATGATTCCGTCTGTAGATCCCAGACCCAGCACAGTGGTAGGAAGAAATATTAGGCTGTAGAAGAAGCACATGCTGAATGCGTGTGTACCTGATTTTTGTCTCATGCAGGAAAACTGTGACAAGCCAAATACAATGTGTCCTGAATCATACTGAATCTGTTTGCCAGTTAGCATGTGATATAGAGTTGCACTGACTGATCTATAAAGCAATACCAATTAATTTACATCTGTAAAATGATCTCACTGCTCCTTCTTCTTCTTAGTACATTTTTCCAACTTCTATGCTCAGAAGAAAATCATTCCTCTTTCACTCAGTAATTAACACAGTGTTATGGTTTAACCCCAGCCAGCCTCCATGTACCACACAACCCCTTCCTCACCCCCCTCCCCTCCCCTCAGCACAAAACCAAAACACAGCCCCATACCAGCCAGTGTGAGGACAATTAATTCTGCCTCAGCCAAAACAGGGACATACAGACACTGAAATTTTGGGACAAGTCGCAGACCATATTTTGACCATGAAACTTGCTGTAATTATAGTCAAGATTTTGCATCCAGTAATCATCAGTGGAAACACTGCTTGTTATGTTGTTGAGCTGAGCTGCTTATTGCTTAATTGTGGGGCAAAACTGACTGTTGGCAATAATTTAATTAGGTTTTGAATAAAAGTCTGTTTTAGGTTGTTTGGGAAAAAAAAGATCATCAAATTAGATATTTTAATATCAAAAATGTTAATAAAAATTAAAATGTAGTTTATTGGAAGCTTTTTTCCTATAAAATGGTCGAGCATGTTTATATCAAAAAAGGAGAAAAATGTAGACAGGTGCATGAAATGGTTACATTAAAACCCAAGAGGCTAGGCAGAAGATTTTAACATGCATACATGATTTGGTATGATCAAAATTTTTCTATGGACTAAGAGGAATCCATTTTATACACTAAGCTAATAATTTATGGTTTTCTAATTCATTTTGACTGTTTAATAGAATTAAATAATATCATGTAATGTTCATTATATCTTACACATAAACTTCCTATTAACTTCCCCTACTATTTGGTGTACACTCTCCCCTCCAGTACTACTCCAGGTCTTATGATTGAATACTCAGTCTTTCTCAGGAAAATGAGGACCTTTTAACAGTCATCTTGGTTCTCCCTCTTCTCTTTACTTTTGGAGTCTATTTGAGGCTGCTTTTTTGTATTTTCTTACAGCTGCTTACTTGCTGTTCCTCAGCACTTCCCAAGCAAAGTCGTGTTGCCCTCGTGTTGGGAATGTCGTGTTGCCCTCCCTCAGCCCAGTTACCCTGGAGTGTGCAGTGACTGTGTAGGGGTGCCAGCCCCTGGCCTCAGGCTCTCCCAGGGTGGAGCTGGTGTTGGGGGACACAGGCGTGTGGCCACCAGGTGTTCCCTGCCATGGATAAAAGCCATACTCACCAAGCCAGGGCCAGATACATCCTGAGAGCCTGCACTGCCAGCTCTGAGCCAAACCTCTGGCCTTGTGCTAGGGATGGCAAACCCCCTGTTTTCTGCACTGCAGAACAGGCCTTCCCAAACATTCCCCTTGCCATTATTTCCAACTCAAAAGGGAAGTCTTTCAAGACTTTAGGGCTTATCTCTGTGTGTGTTTGCAGTATTGGATCTTTAATACTTCCTATTGCTGGCGCATAAAAGATTGCATAATGCTGCAGCTCCCTAAAATATTTATCGGTGTGAGAATGTGATCCTTTGTGTTCAGAAAAAATGTACTTTGATATTTTTAAATTATTTTAATACTTTGCAAGAGTGAGTCATAAATGTTATCATATACTCTGACACTGGTTTTCAATGCGTTACTGTCTTTCCTGAGAATTCACATTAAGAATAAAACTGAAGAGTGAATGCTAAAAGTTATGATTTTTCAGAGGTCAAAATCAGGATAAGTAAGAAGAAAAGGTTCAGCCTCATTCATTCAAATTCACTGAGACTCAAGACCTGCACATACTCATATACATGTGCTTTTTTAAATGAATGTGATACATATCTAAACTCCATAATTTTTAACACAGAGAATACTAAAACAAACTGGAGAAATTATGGAATTGAATGCTTTTTAAACTGCTTTAAATATAGTTCCCAAAGTGTAAAGCAATCCTGTAGATGAAGCAGTAACGCTTGGCATGAATGTGCATATATCAAGCCCGACTTGAAATCTTGTTTTCTTGTGACTACTGCTGTGAAGGCCATTCTGCAGTAATAACTTTTTAACTTTTTTTCTTTTTTTTTTCTTTTTTTAATGTATTGCATCACATGAAAACAGACTTTAAAGTTTTCTAAGTTCTTTTAACTGTACTATAATACATAAGGAAACTTCAGGCAAAATAATCCTGCATTCTGAAGCTTCATTGAAAACATCCAACACAAAGATTTTGTCACTGAATGACACCAAACAGGTAGAATTGCTAGTGTGATTTTTAGTAACTCATTTTCCTCTTGCCTTTTCAGACTATGGCACTATTAAGAAAGTACTTGCCCCAGTGAACCAGACTTCAAGCAGCTGCCTGCTTGAGGAAATTGAACTCCTGCCGAAAAGTCAGCGAGAGCCCATCAGGAGCCTTCAGATCCTGCACAGCCAGAGTGTCCTTTTTGTGGGCCTTCAGGAACATGTGATTAAGGTCCCCCTGAAGAGATGTCTCTTTTACAAAACATACAGGTATGAGGAATCAGCTAGCTTTATTTGACTAGAAATAAGAGAAAAAGAAGAGAAAGAGAAAAATACGTACAGGGGGTTGCGGAAAAATGGGATGGATAAATGGCTGCAAGTAGGAATCCAAATTAATTGTCTCTCTCAACAATGACTTCCTGTGTACACTGTTTATCAAAAGTGGCTCTGACTACTTGTACTAACTTGTTAGGACTAGGTGAGGCTCTCAAGGAATTGAAGTGTCATTATGTAGATTTTAAATTGTGAAGTGAAACAGTAAGAAATGTTTTATATAGAAAACCGTTATCTGGTAAAGTGCCATATAGCTGCTGGTTTAATATATTTAAAGCTGGGGGCTTGAACAAATGTAGGGGTTTTTTGGGGTTTTTTTAAAGCTGTTTTATAACTGAATAAACATCTCTGTGAACTCAGAAAGAAATTGGTAGCTTGAACTGAGAATCAAGAGTACTTGGAAAAGTGGCTATTTAAAGGTAGTGTTGGATCAGCAAATTGTAATGTAAAAATGTGAATATTCTACTAGGTAAAAGGGCTATGCAGTCAACAGTTGTTCAATCAAAGAAAGAGGATAACTTATAAATAATCACTTGGTTGTATGCTGTATTATGATAGTTAAGGGACTTAAAGTTCAGCACACAACTTTTTCAATGGGCTATCTGAAAATACATCTGGGTTGCAAAACATGCTATTAGAGATTGTTAATTTCATCTAGTTAGTTGTACCTTCCCTTTGGTATGTGTGGTCCTGGTAATTCAGAGCCGTTGCTTTGTGTTACATCAGATAGACACTCATGAACCAGTCATGAGGTTTTGAGAACTGTGACAGAGACATGTGGTTGTTTTTTAGCTTGTTTTTTACCTTGTTTAACATACATTCCTCTGAAAAGTTGAGCTATTAAAGGAGGGAGAAAGGCTGCCAGTTGCCTTTCTTGGCTGCTACACTCAGGCTCACAGTGAGATTGTTTGTGCAGCAGAGATATTATACCCCCCCTAAAAGGTCACAGCATGACCATTTGCAAGTAGAGACATTTCTGGCCATCACAGGGACCACACAGTTGGTCACAGCAGGGAAGTGACCATGGGACACAGGTGTAGTAAAGCTGTGGCTTGGTGACAGTGGAAGGACATTTCCCAAGGGGACCTGGCTCACTGTGGTATTCACATGCCCTCTGAACAGAGAGAGATTTAGCTTTTTCAGGATTCTCCTGAGAGAAGCTGTGAGAGAAGCAGAGAAAAGAATGATCAAAACAATTCTTATCTCATTTTTTGTTCCTGTGTTTGTGCCCATGTGAAATATGTTCTGGAGATTGTTTACCCTAGGTGATTGCTTGATTGGCTTCTGGTGATGATGTTTTGGATTCATTGACCAATTGGATCCACGTGTGTGTTTTGGGACTCTTGGGCAGAGAGGTTTCTAGTTAGTTTAGTTAGTGATAGTTCTTGTTAGTGTAATGTAGTTACAGTATAATAGTGTAATGGTACTGATAGTGTAATATAGTTACAGTATAATATAGTATAATAAAGTAATTAATTATCCTTCTGATATCATGGAGTTCTGCACATCATTCTTCCCACCCATTGGACATCCTAACACTGACAGCTCACCATGGGGACTGGTACCATGCAGGAAGCCAGTGAAAGGCAACTGGGTTGGAAATAAGACTGAAGGTAGAGGGTGCCTTAGAAAGCAAGTAGACCAGGGAAGGGAAGAATTCTACCTTTCACAGTTTTTTACCATCCTGTTTTTTGTTTATACTGTTTTATGTAGCATATTTTTGGAATTTTCTCTTGAAATAGAAGAACACTTGAATCCCCATTGGAAGTCCTGCAAAGCTTACTTTAGGGAAAATTTTTATATGGGCAAGTCTCTGTTTCAAGCATTTTGTTGGTTTAGTGGCCTACATAGGATCAAGTTTCAGTTTCCATGGAAATTTCATCTTTCCTTGCTTCAGAGGGTTGAAAAAGGATGTTTGGTGGTGAGTATTTACACCAAGCCTGTAGTCCACTTTGGACATTTCAAGGCTGGTGCCTCACTTTGTTTTTAATGAGATGTGAATGCCCAAGGTCCCTGGTACCTCTGCTTCTCTCAGGACAATTCCCAAGGCGTGTCAATTCTATTCCAGCTGCAAAGCCCAAACATGCTTCTGCCCTTGCAGGGAAGGACTGCTGTTTTGAATCCCAGACCCCATGCGTGGCTGCAGGCTATTCATTCCTCTCCCCGCTTGAGCACTGGGATCTAATTGTCTAATTTTTAAAATTTCTTTTAGAACAAAAGAAAACAAAACAAAAAGAAGTGGTGTCTTTCCCATTCTACTGAGAGCAGTAGTTAAATGCCTCAAATACTGCTCAAATGATAATTTATTCCTCTGCCCAGAGGTATATGAAGTCTCATCTTCCAGTGGAATGACTTATTTAAAAGGAGATAAAATGATTCCTTGTGGGGTTTTTCAATCATGTCTTTTGTAGTTGTATGACTTCTCTTGTAGTAATTAAATATTCATTGCACCAAAAGACTTGCCATCCTTGCTTTCTTCTTGGTTAAAGACTTCACCATCAATTCTAGCTCTGTTTTGTGAAAAAGGAGAGGATTTAGAGATGTGATCCAGACAAAAAAAAGGAATTTCCTTTTCATCTATCATTAGGGACTCAGGTTATTTGAAGAATGCAGATGAAAACTTTCTCACACCTATAATTTACTTTTGGTTTGACTAGTTTTTCCCTGGTTTATGCTGGATTTCTTTTTTTTTTTTTTCTCTTTGCATGTGAACAGAGTACAAGTACATTACTTGGGGCTATACATTTCTCCAGGCATTGAAACATCTAAAACTTGCTCATTGCATTTCTGGGTGCTTTAATACTCACATTCTTCTATTATGTTGCTAACTATTACTTCTATACTGTAGCAATGAGTAATGGGTAAACCCAGCAGGGTAATGAATAAACCTTTCTTAAGGCAATGCCTTGGAGCATAGTGGTTTTGGGGTTTTTTTTGGTATTATTTTAAATAATGTATTCACGTTTATCATACTTAGGGCTGTATAACTGTGCCAAAGCTTCATTCTAAAATTCCATCAATGATAACTGGAGTGTCTAACCCCAGATCAAGGATGTGCACTCTTCAGTATCCACTCCACATAATTAATGAGGAATAGGGCATGCTTGTGTATGAGTAACAGCCTTTAAAAAGTCAAAATGTTGAAGACGTGCTACCTCACCTGCTCCTTTTGTGTAAATGGCAGAGTGCTCAGTGCCTAATCTTATCTAATCTCTTTCTTTAGGTTTCTTGCTGAGCTTTCAGACAATACAGCTTCAGTCCCTCTGTTGAGCTGATTCTTTCATGAACTAATATCTCAATGTCAAGATAATTTTCTTGAGATTGCCCATTGTAATTTTTTTTCATTATTCCTTGCTTCATCTTCCCACAGTAGCCTCTTAAAACATGTGGCTGTGTCTTTTATTTGCAATTTATTATGTCTCCTTAATAATCACTCTAATATGCTCTGCACATCACAAGTCTGTTCCTCCAGCAATTTTCAGTGGTGGAGGAACCCTGTGACCTGCTGCTGCTCTGACAGATATTCCATCTGCTTCAGCACACTCCAGTCATGATTCTACTCCTATAAATACTGCTAGCAAAGGCTCTTGAAAATATATTTGGAGGTGAATGTTTTGGGGTGTTTTTTGTTTGTTTTGGTTTTTTGGGGGTTTTTTTTGTGTTTCTGTTTTGTTGTTTTGTTTTTTTTTTTTTTTGTGTGTGTGTTTGAAGTGCAGTTTGTGTTAGAAGTGCAGTTTGCTGCACTTTATTACTGTGACAGCAGACCTTACCATGGGTAAAACCTGTTGTCACACCCATAGTTTAGGTTACTCAGCACTTTTCATTATGCCCTGATGTTTCCATCATTCATGAGTTTCCCATGCCAGTTATTTGGATTGCCAGTTTCCATGGGGGGCAGGTGGAGGGTATCTCATGCAGACTTCTGCTAATGTCTGAATAGTTTTGAACATCCTGTCATAATTGTGCTGGTTTTGGGAGTCAGCTGGACAAAAGTAATTTGGGATGTGCCAGTACTTTGGAAAATCAGTTCTCAAAAAAACCTGCCATCTTCAAGGTGCAGGAAGCAGCAGAGCAGTTACATAAATTCAGTTCTCCTTAGGGAAAATCCCTAAGGTTTGACCAGGTTATTATCACTTGGATATTGCAATTCACACATTTATCAAACTTTTATAGAAATCCATCAATGATATTCACTGGAGCTATTTTCACAGATGGATTCTCCATCTCTGCTTCTTCAGAGTTGAGTAGGCCAAGCATGAAGCACAACTGACTTTTAAATATGTGCTAATTAACTATAATGTGAGATAAACAGAATAATTATCATGATAAGATAACTTAAACTCTCTAAAATTTCAGTTTCTGTGTTTCACTTTGAAGGTTCTATGCATCCATAATAAGGAATAAGATATGTAGCATGAGGGTAAAGACTCTGTACCCCGAAACAAAGAAACAGTCAGCTTTCTTTTGTTGGCAGCTGTAGCCTTCAAAAACAACCCCTGGTGGCAGTGATTTTTTTCTCAGGCAAATTTGTCAAAGTTATGCTTTGTACTGGCATTTTCAGTGCATTAGTTCTGAAAGGACAACAAAAGTCTATGTCAGCCCAATGTTCTTTAAAATCTTACCAAGCAAGGGTCAAGGATTGATATTTCTGATGGAAGATAGATTTCACACACTTGAAAGGCTTGAAACCTAATCTTGCTATGATGTTATGTCTAAGTAAATAAATAGTGTCATCTGCTAAAAGCTGTACAAATAGTGACTTCTCTGACATGAAAAAACCTGACAACTTCTGGAAATTTTTGAGTATTTTTTATACAATATATGTAATACTACTGGGTCACAAGTTTGTCTTGCTAAGTAATGTTATCGTAGGTATTCTACTATAACTAACCTTTTGCTCTTTGAACTTCTTTATTCTTATTTTGGTGTCATTGTGA